TGAACCGCTTTAGGGCCCAAATTATTTTTCCTATGGGATGTTGATTAGGGTAACAGTGAACCGCTTTAGGGCCCAAATTATTTTGCCTATGGGATGTTGATTAGGGTAACAGTGAACCGCTTTAGTGTATTGGCCCCAAATGATTTTTCCTATGGGATGTTGATTAGGGTAACAGTGAACCGCTTTAGGGCCCAAATTATTTTGCCTATGGGATGTTGATTAGGGTAACAGTGAATCGCTTTAGTGTATTGGCCCCAAATGATTTTTCCTATGGGATGTTGATTAGGGTAACAGTGAACCGCTTTAGTGTATTGGCCCCAAATTATTTTGCCTATGGGATGTTGATTAGGGTAACAGTGAACCGCTTTAGTGTCTCGGCCCCAAATGACTTTGCCTATGGGATGTTGATTAGGGTAACAGTGAACCGCTTTAGTCTATTGGCTCCAAATGACTTTGCCTACCGTTAAGCTATTGTTACCTATATAAATAAACGTCAATATGCGTGTTTATCTGTTCCTTATACGCTTCCACATTTCATGATCATTCAGCACAACTTGACACCGTGATACAGGATGAAATTAGGAAGGTCATGAGGGAGTTGGACCCCCATATAGTTTCATATTAATAGAACTCTTGAAAACAGTATGTCTTTCTTTTCAGTATTTCTAACTTTATGCATTTTTATAACACATTTAATGTTTATTATTTTAAGAAAAGAAAATAGAAACACGTTTCTTATCCTTTGTTACAAACGAGTTGTTATTTCACCCGTTCAACGGACGGGTACTCCAGCTAGTAGTTCATATTAGCTATTTAATAATTCTGTATATAGTTTGGCATTACGTCATTAGTTTACTTAGGCTAGTTTTTATGATTAGTTTCTTTGTCGTATTAACGCCGGGCGGATCTTTATTTACTGGGTATTATTATTTTAATAGAACTTTCGTATTTCTAGAGGCATATCTTGTTTCTTTTTCGGCTTGTACAAAAAGATTCAACGTTATTTACTACTTCTTGTAGCCAGTTCTAAGTGTTTGTTCAGGGGACAGTTGAATAAGACTGGTGGTAAAATAGTTGTTTTCATATTCCTACGTTTAATGTCCCTCGGTGGGACAGCAGTGAGTCTAGAAACTTACAAAGCTAAAATCCGGGGTTCGACTTCCCGGGGTGGACACAGCAAAGAGCCCAACGTGGCTTGGCTCTGAAACAAACAAATTACGTTTAACATTGTTATATTATTATGGTTATGTCCGGTATTAGTATATTTTTACACTTTATTTTGTACTGTTGCAGACTGGAATAGGATAGGCATCTGACGTTTATAGTAGAGGAAGCATAACGAGGTTCCTTTTGTAAGGTGACTTGTTAGAGAGATTAACATTTCTATTTACACAAAAGTATACTTCTAGGACGATGGATCCAAACAAAAAAAATGTGTTTGTTTGTCCCCTAAGTGAAGTTATGCTATTATATTTATTTATTGTTACTTTCCTTAACAGCATTAGTTATAATTAGCATGTATATCGAATGTAATTACTTTTTATTTTAATTTATTGTTTACTATTATACTTCTATTATATTCGTGATGTCAGAAAAACACGTAGGTTCAAGAAGTCTTGATACGAAGTGATAAAAACCCTATAACCCGAGCACTTTCGAAAGGTGGATCTTTCTTCTTCACGAGCAGACTTTATTATAAAGATTGTTTTGCATTGTTATTTTAGAATTTTTATTTAGGACTAACCTAAATCTCCTAATTTGGAAAAAACCTCGTGAGATATTATTAGGATTATTGCCGAAAATGTCGTTTACAACGAAAGTACCCAACTGATGAAACAATACATTCTACTCTTTATAAATGTGTTTGTTTTGTTGTTAAGCACAAAGTCACAGAATAGGCTATATGTGCTATGCAAATCACGGGTATCGAAACCCGATTTTTTAACGCCATACTCTTTATAAGCAGAAACGTAAGAAAAGTATTCGATGACGAGGAACCCACTTTGAGACTAATAATGGCTCTAAACCAAC